AAAAAAAAACAAGAAAAGGACAGAAACAATTCAAAGCGAAAGCACCAGAACGGGATTTTGGAATGGATTGATTGCAGTGAAGACGGGAAGATGAGGAAGGTGAAGGTGGTGAAACCAGAGGAATGTTGCTTGACTTTTCTTCCCTTCCCTTCCCTTCCCTTACCTTTCCTTTGCTTTTTTTCCTTTTCCCTTATTTTTGTTGTTCAGTGTTTGACGAGGGCGGATGGGCAGAGAAAAGGAAATGAGAGAGAGCTGCTGCTCGCGGCCTTCCACTATACGTATATATATACGCTGTTTTTGTACGTATATATGTACTTTATATAAGTATAAAATAAAACAGTATTATTTTAATCTTCCACCCTAAAAGCCCAATTATTGTTCTTCACTTGCCGAAATTAAATTATTAAAAAAATTTAATGTTGAGCTTAGTTATGTATACATTTATAAAATTAATTTCATGTGTTTTAATTCATGAAATTAATAAATAAAAGAAATATAATATCTTTAGTAGTTTATAAAAATTTTGAAATAATTATTTAATTAACGAAATTACATAGACCAACGAAAAAACCTTATTTAAAATTTTCGAATTAGTATCTACTAGAAGGTTTCATATTAATAAAGAATTGAATAAATTTAGATATTATTTATTACAGATTAATATATTTTAATTTAAAAGAGATAATTATTAAGTGAAGGATAATTCTTTCTTTATAAATTTAAACTGATTCCATATACAAAATTCGTGATAACACAATGTTATTGACATTTCTCTCACTGCATTATATTATAAAGTATACTTTTATATTATAATTTAAATTCAAAATCTCAAATGATTTTTATTATTGGTTTTAATTTAATTTAAATGATTATTTCTTTTAATTTAATTGAGAAATGAGTAGCTCAATTAATTTTTTCATTAGTTAAAATAATATATATTATTTTATATTATATAATAATAATATGATATATTAATATTTTATAATAAATAATAATATATATAATAATAATAACATAATAACATAATAATTTTACTTTTCATATTAACGTCACAGTAATATCTTATGTATATAAAAAATGATAGATCTCATTTTAATTAATGATAATTAATTAATTATTAGATATAAAAAATTATTTAATAAAAAATATAAAAACATGATTAAAAATAAATGAAGAATAAAAATTTTAAAAAATAATTCAATAACTTTTTATATAAAATTAAAAGATTAAAAAGAATAAACTGTTACCGTCCCTTCATTAAAATGAAATATATGTAAGACAACGTTAGGTAAAAACATTAGGTTATAATCAATATAAGGCAAACAAATGCCTTTTTTTAACTTTTTGAAAATTAAATATATTAAAATTCAAAATGAATTTTAATAAAATAGACACCTAATAATCTTTTGGTTGTAAATTAAGTTCAATTATTAAGTTTTTCATTTTTATTAAAGTAATTATAAAGTATTTGTTACTGCAATACTATTAAAACTATATATTAAAAAAGCGTACAAAATAGTTTTATACTAATACTATTATATGTTTTTATATTTCCTTCTTTTTTTTTGTCTGTACAATGTATTTTCTATTGGTTTTGCCTTTTTTATAAAAAAATTAATAACGCAAAAAACAAAAACCTATCCGCCGTCCACGTAAGCGTATAACGAAGAAAACAGAAAGAGCGGGCGCACCAAATTGATCCGACGGCCACGACTTGAGAGATTGAATCGCTGGCGCGTCAATTCCTAGACGGCGCCGTTTTCCTTATCCATCCGCCTCGTAAAGCGTACACTACATTTCTTTTTCTAGCAAGCTCGAAAAGTCAAATATATCTACAAGTAGTTTCTGTTTCAGTGTTTTTTTCCATCTCCCTCTACAACCAAAAAGCTCATAAAATTTTTTATTATATCTCAAGGAATTCATTTGGTTAATTCTTTGTGACTTTTTTTTGTCAAAATGGGTCTTCCTGAAATAGTAGATTTTGCTCGGAATTTCTCTGTTTTGGCCAGAGTACAAGGCCCTGTGAGCCCCATTTACATGTGCAACGCTGTTTTTGTTTCTATTTTTGTTATTTTCTTTGAATATTTAGTAATTTTATGTTTTTTTTTTAATTTATGTAGGATCCAAAGGGGCTGAAGATGAGGAAACATGCCTTTCATCAATACCAGTGAGTTAAAATTTGTTTTGAGTTTCATTATACTTTTTTTTTCTAATTTGTTGAGTTTTTTTTTCTTTTTTTTTCTCTGTTGTTGGGTATTGTAGTTCTGGTAAAACGACACTGTCAGCTTCAGGGATGCTATTACCTGACACCCTTTACAACACTGAGGTGGCTAAGTGTATCTGGGACAGTGATGGTGATCAGAATTTGATGTTAGTTATGACAGTTGCTTCTGTCGTTGAGCCGTTTCTTACAATTCAACATAGAGGAAACCTTTCTCAGGTTGAGTTTCATTATAGTAAATATATTGACTTTTAATTTTGGTATAATTGCTTACTTTACTGGGGTTTTGAGGCTATTGTGCTTCTTCTTGTTTTGTTGTAGGGTCTACCCGAGTTGATTTCCGGTGCTCAGATTGATATTATGGTTGAGGTATAAGATGTCAGATGGTTGTTGATAAATTTAGAATGATAATTTGTTTAAGTTAATTTTTTGAGTTGAGTTTAATGGGATGGTGTGTTTTGATTATGTAGGAAAATATGGGAGTGAATTTGGATAAAGGAGCTACTTGTTGGGTTGCTGCGCGATTGCTGAAAATGGTGGGCGTTTAAATTGTTAATGTGTGTATTTAGAGGTTTAAAAGCTATAAGGACACTTTAATTCACACTGATATGTGTTGCACTTGATAATTTTGAATGAATATATTTCTGATTTTGACTAACCAACGAATTTTGAAGGTTGATGTTCCTAGATCATCCCTTGCTCTTCAATCCCTTGTTGAAGCTTCTTCAGGCTCACAGGAGCATGGGTGGGAGTTTGGTTGGTCCTTGGCTTCAACTCATCAGCCTTCAGTGGATGGTATTCAGACACAGGCAAGCACATGAATATTTTATTGTATTCTTTGGTCATTCTTGCCTCATAGCAGCTTTGTGGAACTTTAATGTGAACTAAATGTTTTTCTCCTTATTATTTTGAGTGGCTATTTTTGGTGTAAAGAAGAAATTCTGGACATTGAACCAAAGCATTTTATTCTTCAGAAGTGAGAATTTCGTTTCCTGTGTTCTTCAGGGATCAGTTGTATACAAACCAAAACTCTTCTTGAGTGAAACACTTACATGAATTAAACTAGTCAATAAAAAGTTGCTTTGCAATAGATCCTGGATTTTTTTGTGCTCATGTTTGAGGTAGCTTTTTTTCCCCTTTTATTTGCTCCTTGTTGGAGATCCAACAAGATCTGACGTAGAAGCTTTATTTCAGATCAAGTATGATAACAAAATTTTGATGGAGCGCCAGAGGCTACTGGTAGAGGAATTGAGCAATCCTAGTCTTATGGCCAGGTCAACAACTAGAATCGCTATCCTTGGAGTTAACTTGTATTTAAATGTAACATTTCTTTCACTCATTACTCTTACCTTTTTGTTAATATACTGTGTGATGGCAACTGATATGGTAGCAAATGAAAAATGTTTTGAGACTTTCTGGTTTGTATGTTTATTTTTCTTGCTTTAGCCTTTAAACTTATTAATGTGGATTTTCATGAGATAGGACCTACCAAGTATTGGGATATCACCTGTGAATAAAAGGGGAGAATTCCTTCTGGCAATGGGATCTCCGTTTGGCATCCTCTCTCCTGTGCACTTCTTTAACAGGTAATGCTTCTTCCCTATGTAAATATCTTTTACATTTTAGTAAGTTTACATTGACAATAACCAACTTGTTTGCCAAATTAGTTTTCATCAGTCAAAAACTCCAAATACGAGATCATTGATTCTTGTAGGATATGTTATGGAACTAATCTGTTTGGGTATTTAACTTTTGCAATCAACCATCAATAGTTCTCTCTGTCTCTCTCAACATTGTATATCATTTTGCTTTCTTGTGGTCTCTTTGGAGTTCTACTGTTTAAATAATGTAATTGCTTAAACCAGCATATCAATGGGATCTGTTGCCAACTGCTATCCACCTAAATCATCTGACAGAGCATTGCTGATGGCTGACATTCGATGTCTTCCTGGTGAGGATATTTCTGTGCGTTGTTACCTATGCATTTTTTTTGCCACACAGTCTTAACTATGATTTGACAATCAACTCTGCCAGGAATGGAAGGTGGTCCTGTTTTTGGTGATCAAAACACACTAGTTGGTATCTTGATTAGACCTTTGAGGCATAAGAGCAGTGATGCCGAGATTCAGGTAACTTACAACTGTTTCTCATATTCATTTTCATTAAACTTTCTCATAGTTAATGCATCACAAAAAATTGTAGCGTTGGGTAACAGCTAGTGATTCCGTGGGAAGCCATTGCAAGTGCTTGCAGTGACTTGCTGCTGAAGGAGCCACAAATTGCAGAAAAGGGGATTCATATTAACAAGGGAAACTTAAATGCTGTAGGGACTGGATTATTGTATAACAGCAATGGTTCAAATGAACTCTGCTGTTACAATCATGATCATCCTAATTCATCGTGCCCTTCACTTTTACCAATTGAGAAGGCAATGACTTCTATATGTCTTATTACCATTGACGATGGTGTATGGGCATCAGGTGTTGTGCTCAATGATCAAGGCCTAATACTCACAAATGCTCACCTTTTGGAACCATGGCGATTTGGGAAAACAACTGTAGGAACTGGGACGAGAACCAAGGTGCCATTCTTCCTACCTGAAGAATCTGCATCTCCTAAGGGTAAAGGATTTAACAGGTACCAGAAAGGTAGCATGCCACCATTTTCACTGAAGATTGTCAATTCTTCTGTGGTTGATGAGCACAAAGGCAACAAGTTGAAGTCACTTTACCATGGCCATAGAAGTATACGTGTTAGACTTGGTCATCTGGA